TCGAGTACATGGTTTGCATTTGGGGCGCGCGAGAGTTTTTCTCCCATAAAATAAATAAAATATGTTCGGAGCATCTTGGGAGGAAGCCATTCTAATCCTTTTATTCTTTCCAAAGGAAAATGATTCCATATTCAGAGCACTGTGCAAACAATTAATTAGCCTAATGAAAATGAAAGGCGTAATTGCTCAGTATTACGATGATCATTGGCAGCCAGGCGTGACCAAAAAATAGGCACTGTCTTACCAGGAAAAAAGCACAACTTTCCAGCTTTTGGGGCTTTTTTAATATTTGAGCATCTAGCAAAACAAATTTTTTTTTTTTTGGAGTGATGGTGCAATTCTTCCTTTCCACATGCAAAAAGCTGGCAAAATGTGGAGACATCTGAATGAGCTGCTATACAATAGAAAAAAAAAAAAAAAAAAAGAGAGACCCAGCTGGTGTGAAAGGATGTGGCTGAACTGAAGTTGATAAAGCTGTAACTTGCCTGAGTTGAGTGACATGGCAGTGTCTCCCATGCATGTCTCCTGCAAGAGACTTGATTTGCAAGATGAGAGTGCTGCAACATTAAGAAAAATTGTATATTTTAAGGAGTGCACCCAAAACTAAAGTACAGTCATCCTTAATGCAGCTCTGTTCTCAATGACCTGTAGTTATCCAAATGGAAAAGTGCTCTAAATTCATCCAGATTAATTTGCTCACTGCGCGTAGGATCATGAAGAGTCAGGTTACAGGAGCTGTAAGAAAGTGAACCGTTATCATTCATGCATATCTTGTAAGATGGAGATAGAAAGCAGATGCTGACTGAACCTGAGGAGTATGGGTCCAGTAATTCTTTGTTTAAGCAGCTGACTCTCGTGGGAAAATCCCAAAGATTCAGCTTTAATTCTATTATCTGCCTTGTGAGGAGACTGGCCACCAGGCACTATTCTTTAGAAACAACGTGGGTGAACTCTGCTCTCAATCACACTTGCACAACCCCACGGATTACATAGAGCGGGTTTCTCAGCAAGCAGTAATTCTGGTATTTGGGACGGGGGGAACTGCCATTTAACCTTAACTAAGGGCACTTTTACTCTGTGCTCCAGGCTGGCGCCCAGAGCTGCAGGACATGCTTGTACAAAAGTCATTCGTTATCGTGCAATATGAGCGCCTCACATGGGAAATACGGCTTCCCAGTGTAACCAGTGGTGACAGGTAAGCACCTCGCTCAGGGGCTGGAGTCACCCCCTGGCAGAGTTTAATCGATCGCAAAGGGATCAGGAACCCAAGGCTGGTCACCAAAACGAGGTGGGACAGTGCCCTCTCTCCCACCCTCAGTGCAGCACTCCAGGGGATGTTACTTGTTCCCCATGTAATTTAATAAACCACCGGCTAGCAAAGAGCAAGGGTAAAGTCAGACCTACATCTCCTCCGGCTTCAGGGATGCAGAGTGAGAGCAGCCCACACGCTTCCCTTGGCACAGGGGTGGAAATTTCTTTATGCCCTCTCAGAAATTCACTGGAAAAGCAGCAACACAGACTTGGTCGCTTCAAGGCTTTAGATACTCCATGTGCGCTGTGCTGCCTTTTAGGAGATAAGCTGGGTCCAAATATACTGGGTTTTGAGGAGGACTTAAAAAATCAAAACCCACCAGGAGGTGATTACAACACAGAACAGTAAATCCTGTGAAAAAGATAAAACCAGAAAATACAAGTTTGTGGCTGAAGGTCACTGCATTTCCCAATCACCCTTTGTAGCTTGCAAAAGTGAAATCAAGGAGAACACACAGACCTTCCTGAAACCACTTCCGATCTGTGACCATTTGTTTATGCAGCTTGTAATAAATCCAACAGACACTGCTGGGGACTTTGAGACATAAAAAAAATGACAGATCCCAAGATGTCATAGCAAGATCAGTTTATCAGATACCTGAATTATCCCGGCAACCTTTGTCAGGCTGGCTAACAACATTCCGCTTAGCTGCATGCAGCTGCTATTTAACCTGGGATACGCAGGCACTTGTCACCCCTCACTGATGAAAAAAAGAAAACCCTAATGAAAGGCGGCTTTTGCTTTCTATTTATTTTGCAAATCTACCAATTCATTTTATGAAAGTATGAAATCCTGTGTAGTTACACTAAACAGTTACGTTACAATCCAGGTAATACAAATAACCACTACAAAGTTAGTTTTAGGTACTCTCAGATAACGAGTAGATTTAACATTGTTTAAAATAAAAATAAGTCACAAAGAAGAGAAAAATAGCCTTGTGATTGTCAAAAGAATTTAGTTTAAAGCAAGAAAATCATGGAAAATCTTCTTGTCCTAAAAAAAGTTAAGAGAGAAACACTGACATTCACATCGTCTTTCAACATTAACGTTCAATTAGACTCATCAAACAAATTTTAAGTGCACACATCCACTCAGAATAACAACAATAGTTCAAAAGTTGTTTGGAAACCAGTGTTGGGTTTCATTCTCTGGTAACTACATTTACAGTACAACATCACCATCAACCTTTCCTTCAGATGCATAAAAATCCTGTGATATCGTTTGTAAAATACACTAGAGCTTCAAATCTGCTCTAATTGAATTCAGTGAGAGTAGGATCAGTTCCTACATTTAATAAGTACTCCTGATTTACTGAAATCCTTAGAAAACAGTCTCCTTCCCAGGAATGAAATTAATTTAGTGAACAAAATGCTGTAATAACTCAGCAAAACTCTTAGCTTTACTATCCAGCAATTGACACTGAAACTGCATTTCCGAGGACCTTTATGCATGGTCATTCCTTTCTCTCCACCAGCAACAGGTCACATGAAGACACCAAGTAACTGTGCTTAGTAAGAACTCGGAGCTACGCAAGTAAGTAAAAAAATCAAAGATCAACTTGAATTAATCTAGAAACTGCTCTCCTGACACCCATCTGACACACTTCTAGCGTCATTCTGCTGCCTGCAAGCTGCCACTTCTGACGAGACACGTGTCAATCACAACTCATCACTGCTTCCTAGGAAGCAATTCAACGGAGCTTTCATTTTGCAGCTGCATCTCGACGTTGCATTTGGAGTCGGGGGCAAAACGCCCAAGATGTTACCCTTGCATATAACGCAATTGTTTCACATAAGCAAGGAGAGCTGTTTATGGGGAAGGCAGGCAAGTGCAGGCATGATCCTGATGGGCTGTGGCACAAAGGAGGTAAAAAATTCATTCTCTGTTGTAGCCTTCACCTCTTTCAACTAGGGCATCCAAAATGGTGCAAGCCCTCAAATCTCCACTCACGCATGCGCAACAAACCTGCAGAGCTCCTTGAAGCACAGAAGTGAAGCCAGCAGCATCGCAGCAGGGCGTCTAAGAGAATTAGATATTAATCCACAAGAGTATCTTTAACAGTTCATCACCTCAAAAAACTTGGACAAAACCAGACAGGTTACACAAAACTAGACAAGCTTTTCACCTGGACATCAAGTGCCATCAAACTATGGAAGCAAAGAAGTTACTGCTGAGGGCAGTAGCTATTGTTACGGTCTACAAAAGGCTTTATCCCCTCTGAAGTAGATAAAGTTTGCTGTAGTCTTGGAAATGGTGCCGAGCTGGGGGGAACGCTACTGTAACCACGGCTAGCGATTTTCCTCCTTCCTGCCAAACACCACTCTTATCCAACACACCAAAGCCAACAAAGATGCATTTACTGGTAGCCGACTGCACAACTTTCCCCAGGAGGCCGTTTAAAATGGTAACAGATGCTCCAGTTCCCAATTTGCTGACACGATACAATAAACATCATTTGTTCAGACCCTTTGTTAAGAGGAGGCATCACAACAGACAGCCCCACCCTGTGATTACCACTGTGCCTACTTGTTTTCCATCTCTACTCATGTAAAAGTAATGTCAAATCCTCTTAAGAATCCTGAGCAGCCATCCAGAATCACTTGTTCAACTGACATTTCTGTAATAATAAGGAAAGAAAAAAGAGTTGTGGCAAATTAAATGGTGCTCCTGTTGCCAAGTTGTTAAAATTATATGGCAATATGCTTCCAGTAGTTGTAAGAAATTAATTTGTGGAGTGCTTACAAGCCTTACATCCACTAAATCTCAACAGGATATAAAATGCTATTTAAGTGATACAACTTAGAAATGTTAAGGAGAAAAAAAAATCAGCACTAAAGAGTGGAAGAAGAAACTAGATTCTTGCCTGCACTCTTAATTCCTCAAGGCTGGATCTCTACAGCTGAGGAAGCCGTGAGGGAGATCCTTGGAGAAGTACTTATGTGCGTACATACATCAGCACCTGCACCTCTCCCTTCTGCCACCCTTCTTCAGCAGATGAGACAGGGCACGTTCAGGGAGTTGCCCCAACTCCTGTAAACAGCTGCAGGCCAAGAGCTCAGCCAGCCCCCGCACTAACCACTCTTTTCAATAGCTTTCTGAAAGCACCAGCCGCAGCAAAGCAAGCATCACTTCTTTCCACCTCCTTTACTATGATGTTCCTCAGAAAGAAGTGTGCGAGACACCGACCTGTAGACAAATTCACTTTTAAATTATGCCACTACATATTACTGTCATCCTTTTCTCACAACAATGTCAAATACAATACAAAACTTTGGATTTTCTACAGTAAGTAAAATCAGTAAAGTCGAAAGACAGACAGTGCTGGCAGTGCTGTTACTGCTCCATCCTGTACGACAGACCCAGGGTAAGGCGCTTTGGCAATCAGCACCAAGTTTAAGCAATAAGTTTTGTAACAATTCGCTCTCCACACTCTTACTAGAGTTTTCGGCATGGAAAACTGACACCCCCTGGCTGTCCTCTAAACTGCTTTGAGGCTACAATTTGTTAATCCAGCAGCAGATCCTTTTCCCTAAGTACAGTACAATTTGATAGCAACACAGAAGCACACAACACAGGACAGATTTGCTCAAGCTCACCATAGCTGATGGGCTACACGCACCAAGACGCAATTCAAAAAGAGCACACAACTCAATTCATCAGGACAACATCGACTCAAAGGATTTCTAGCTCCACTTCGTGAAGGAAGAAAAGGTTCATAAAGAAAAAGATTTTATTGCAAGTTGTCCTGCTCAGTTTGGCCACTTTTAATACAGATCAGAAGTATGAGAAGCTAACAAGGAGCCAAGGACAAACAATTCCTGTTCCGTAAATATTTTAAGTATAGCAAGCTTGCTTTAAAAAGAAAAGCCACTGTGCAATATTCCAAATGGCCTTCTCTAAGACTTGAAATTGTTAGATGAACACTGACAGAGAATACAGGTTTCGGTAGCAGTTCTGGCATCTTGCAATTTGGAAAACCTTTGTCCACACGGGACTGAGGTAACTTATTTGCAGCCTCCTTTCTTGCGGCACCCTAGGGTCACCCGTGCATCCCTCACAGCAGCGCGCCGCTGGCCTCAGCAGGCGCCTTCCTCGGAAGGCACAAACTGGCAGCTGTCGTGAGAAACAGTGTCGATGCTCTGCACTTCGGACTGTGGGTGGATGGACACCTGAACAGCTATCTCCTGCCCTTGCTCACTCATGGAGCCGTCATCCGAATCCCCGGCTGGTGAATCGCTGCGCTTCATCTCTGGGTTGATGGGGTATATTGCAGCTTGGGTGCCACAGGCTTGGGTCTGTTTTTCCTCCTCGCCAGCTTCGTCAGGATCGTCAACTCGCACAGCCTCAAAGATCTCCTCCATGAACGCCCTGCAGTTAAGGATCAGAGGTGGAAGTGGAATGCTTCTGGCAAGCTCTTCAATGTACCGAGCAAACTCCATGGTCTTAAACTGAGTGACTTTGGCCAACTCGAGTGTTTTGGCAGATGTGATGATAGGGATGCGCTTGGCTATCTCAAAAGCTTTCTGAAGCTTCTCAGCTCCTTCCGTCCTGAAGAAGTCATTGATAGCCTTCTCTGTTTTGCGGAGGTGGCTGCTCATCATGCATAGACGGGTGATGTTTAAGATGAGGGTGATGGCAAAGGCAACGAGGCACACAATCATGTAGTAGGTACTCATGTCTCCTGAGGTGAAGATAACCCTCAGGGTGACTGTGTAATACGAGGTGTCATTATGATTAACACCTGCACATGTGTATCGCCCCCGGTCAGCAAAGTTGATCTTTGTGATGTTGAGGGAATTATCAGCAATCCTCCACCGGCCACCTGGGGATGCAAAAGAAATAAACTGAGCTAATGAAACAATAACCAATAGGTTAGACACGTGCTGTTTGCTCTACCAAGAAGAGACAGAGCTTGGAACCAAGTAGTTAATTTCTAGTGTAATACAAAGTGTACACCAAGGATTGAAATCTGCTTTTCGGACTTGTGATAAAGAAAGCCATAAGCCAGTTACCAACCCTACTGCTCAACGGTAAACTATTTTGCACGCTTGCTACTCAAGTTTTCCTCCTTTCTCTCATCTGCAGTTTCTCGTGTACTTTTGCACTGCTGGCTCTTTGTGACAGGGACCCTATTTCTTACCTAGTGCCTCTCACTCACTGTGTGGTAACAGTGTTGAAAAAAATGTTCTCTATAAAGTCTAATTCTCCGTATGTTTGGAGTCAAAAGTCAAGTGGCCCATGAAAGAGATCAGGGTCTGTAAATGGCTCCGCTGGCAAAAGAACCCAGGGTTTTCTTAAGACACTATTTTCTGCTGAGCATGCAGTGCTGATATACAAAACCCATGTAAAAAGAAATCAATGAAAGAGGCTTCCTTATACAGTATTTCCTATGAGTTTATAACTTAGGGGAAAAACTGTTTTCATAACTCATTCTCCTAATTACTCTACTTTGAACTAATCTCCAGATGGCATTATAACTACAAAGAGGTTACTGAATACTTAAGGCAGAAAGATGGCCTCCGAGAAGATCCTATCAATTAGCTTGATGACCTTCATTAATACTAATAGAGTACAGAAAACCACATGCATCTCTAAAAGACATTATTTTATGTAAATTAAAAACTACAGGCCCAGAACTGGAATAGCCAATGTGTGGGAAAATATACTCTCCCTCTGCAGAAAAGGATTAAATAGCATATATTTCATCCTTCGCCATCACAAACTGTGTCAGTTTCCACAGACTCACTGGTGCATAAACCAGAAAATAAATGTAATAAGTTACCCCACGCTTAAAAAAAAAAGGTCCTGTAACAAGACTAAAGCCTTGATTGCCAGCTGGAAAAGTTGTGGAGAACTGTGTTTAATTCATGCATTGGGAAAAATGCAATGTAAAGGAGAGCAATCATAAATAAGTACATCAGTTAGTATTTGTAGGATGCAGATTTGTTTCCTCTGTTGTCAATATTGTGATGCTTCTTGAATGATTGTGGGGCACCACAGAAGGGTGGATGGGCTAGGACAGAAGAACCCAGGTGTAATTCTCATGCCAGAGGGCAAAGGGCTCTGTCTTGTTTTCTCCTTATATCTCAACTGTAAAAATGGGAGGACAGGAAGAGAAAATGATAACAAAGTCCTAGAAGTTTTTGGATGCTGTATAAAAGGGGAATATTGAAGGACAGAAAACAGCAGGAAAGCTCACCTTCATCTTTCTGTTTGAGCAGGTGTCCTCTGGAGTTATACCAAAGAATATATTCATACTGGCTGATGTTCAGTTTACATTCAATTAAAATATTGGTCCCCTCTTTGGCTATGATATCATGGTGTGCTGTAGAACCTCCTAATGCTTGAGACACTGTACGAAGTGATGCATTGAAAGACGCAAAAGCAACCGTCGTGTTAAAAGCCACATTTTTCAGTGGAAATCCAATCGAAAGATCAGCACTAACAGTCAAAATTAACAGGAAATAGCTGAGCTTCATGGAAAGTTAGAGAAGATTCTTTTTTCATTTAATTTGCAGAAATGAGGTCATACGATATTAAGCTGCCTGTATTGCTCTGAGATAGAAGCGGAGGCTCTTGATTTGGTTCGGTGATGGAAAACGTCTTGGATCCAAATGCACTTTCAAGACCATCAATATGAGAAGTGGAAACTGGAAATCCAACTGGGGAAAAAAAAAAGTTTATTAATGATAGCAAGCTTACGGCATATTCAAATTTCATTTCCAGTACACAGATTTCAATTAGCATAATGTAAACTGTCAGCCGAGAGGTTCCAAATCAGAGCTTTGCTCAGAACACAGCAATGAATCGAGGGTAAGACGGCATTAGCACAACCTTCAGTCCCTGAGACGTTCATCTTCCCATCCAAATAAATAATGGCAGGAACAACAAGCATTAAAAGGAAAAAGGTTTTAAAAAAAGAACAAACTGTTCAGACTACTCTAAATGTGTAACTATCTTGATGGTCAGAAAGTGGATTCTGCATTTGCTAACAGAGAAAAAGGGCTTTTTTAATAGAGGAAGAAAGGCAAAAAAGAGGATATAATTTCTGCATCCCTCCCCACCGATATCAAAGTGCTTCCAAGCTCTGGTTTTCTAAAGCCAGTCTTTCGCTTAGCATCTAGAGAAAAACCAAAGCACACACACATCTGACTTCAGCATTAATACATCGTGATCTTAGAGGCAGAATCAGGGTTAGATGTCTAAATACTACCTAATACGCTTATAATTTCTTGCACTGGGAAAACTCTTGGCAGTTAGCTATAGGCACAGAGAGGAAGGGCCCTTCTGAGCATCAGGATGCTGATGTCTGAGCATGCTTCCTTTTTTACAATCCCCCTTCCTGCTGCCACTCTATTTGCTAACTCTGCCTCTTTTTTTTTCTAGCTTGTTTTACAACAGGCTTCTCTTGAAAATCTTTCACTTTATGCTGCTACATCTTAGTGGTTATATCTTGCTTATCATCTTCTCTCCCTAAGTGCTGCCCCATATTTCACAGCAATTTGGAAAAATTGGTTTTGTCTAGAGACAGAATTCACTCTTCAAATTAATGTGCACAAAAGCTATTTTAAGACATTAGGATACAGCCTTTAATTTTATGTTCTTTGCACACAGGGATTTTCTTTCGGTAAAAGCCTGAATTAAACCACCTTGTAACAAAATGAGATGACACCGATAAGAGAAATCTGTAATCAATTTTCCTGGAAGCCTGAATCAAGAAAATTTCTAATCCAATATGCATTCCCTGGAGTTATGATTCCATCTACAGTGCTCCAGAGCCCTAAAATACAAAGTACAGAAGCCACAAGTCAAACTTTTATCTTGAAGGATATCTCACTTCATCCCACTGCCTGTGTGACTTCAGATTTATCATCTTTCTTCTACCAGTTGCAAATGCTAGTAGAGCTGCATTTCATAAACATCACAATACAAAGGAATAAATTTTCTTAATAAATAATGCAAACACTTCTCGTCTTTCAAGAATCACTACTTAACACTGCCTAAAGCAGAGAGAAATCCGATCACTTATGAAAAATAATGCACTATAAATACCAACAATTTGCAATAATTGCTTTTTCAGCAGAGAAAAGATAAGCACGCTCAAGAACAAGAAAACCTTCTGATAGCACACTACTTAGACCAGGATTTTTTTCAGTTAAAGTCAATTTATCTGAGGTCAGACCAGATTCCAGACTTGACATCTGATGAGAAACATGTTAGCTGACACATTTCTGCTCTGGCTATTGCCAAAACCAGTTTAAACAAAGGCAGCAAAGAAGACAGCTCTGTCCAACTCTCCTTCAAGCTTGACTAACCAACGTCCCCACTGAATCCTGCGAGAAAAACTGGAAAACAGACCCTCCACTTGTTTCTTTGAAAACAGCAATCCCTTCATCTGCCTTTTTTTTTATTGGCCCCACTCTGTTTTCCATCATGCGTCTTGTCTGCTCATTTAAGACGAGACCAATGCTGAGAACTCAATTACACCATTGTGCTGAAGACGCTGCTTTTCCTTAGCTAAATGCTTAAAAACAGTACCAAAGCCTCTTTCGTTCCTGTTTTCCACCAGTTACATTTTTGGGAAAGTCCTGCTGCTTCTCGAGAACATCCCAGAGACACCAACTGAAAAAAACCCACCAATTCTATAGTTGCTGCTGGTTGCTATTCTTCTGTTTGAAGAAGTTGTTTTAACCTTCCTTTCTTAGACCCTTAGTATTTTTCCAGAGTGTTTCTGAGCCTTCACAAGGCTGCTGATGACTGACCTGCTTATTTTAGTAATCTTGTGCAGATTTCCTAAAGGCAGGCTGTGGCCTGTCAGCACTTTGAGGACTGCTGCCATCTGAGAGTCTGTCCCAGCTTGCACTAGCACGTGCGGGGCTGAGGCCGCAGATTGTAGAATCACAGAACCACAGAATTCTAGAACAGTTTCTGTTGGAAGAGACCTTCAAGATCATCGAGTTCAACCTTTGTCCCAGCCCTATCAACACCACTAAGCCATGTTCCTCAGCACAACATCCACCCATCTCTTAAACACCTCCAGGGATGGTGACTCAGCCGCCTCTCTGGGCAGCCTGTTCCAGTGGCTGATGTCCCTTTCAGCTCCCTTGCACCCACCACGCCACCACCCACCTGCGTTCAGGTAAAACCACCACTGCACTGAACGGCTTTCTCACGCACCGGGACTTGACTTCACAGCATTCGGTGCAGTTACAACTCACAACAGTTCTGGTGTGAAGGCAAATCTTTGTCTTCAGTATCAAGTCAAACTCATGGAATTACTTTACAGTCTTCTAAAACAATAACTACCCAACTAGTAACATTTTAGATTTATTAGAGGACAATTCCAGTACCTCCTGGTTTTGTTTGTGTCGTTGTCATTTTAAATAATTGAATTAAAGTTTTTAGATTTCCAAGGGCCTGTGACACTCCTCCTAAAACGACATTAGGAATCTCAGCCAATTATTTAACACAAGAAATACTCAGTAACATTTTCTCTCATAAGAATAAGGTAATTATCTTCAGTAACTGCATATGCTCTCCACTATATTTGCACTTAGTGTGCATAACATCTAAAACAGTGTTGATGGGTCACCAAATTTTACTATTAAACTCTTCAAGGTCTGATTTACTAGAAATTGTTTGTCACATTTCGTTTTTGGAAAAGCCATTACTGCTAGGCAGACAATGATCTCTCACTGCCAAGTGCTGGGAAAAATATAACGATTTCCAAAATCCACATTCTTCACCCACCACACTTATGCAAAACAGCTGCTTGAGCTGATGAAAGATCCAAAAAGGATAAAGCTTAAACAGTGCCAACATCACAATTCTTCAAGAAAGCCCAAGCAAGACGAAATGTGCATGATAGAAACTGGTTACTTTACAACTGAACCTGAGCTCAACTTATTTAACCTTTATAAAACCATAAGCTGAAACAACAAATAACAGACGAAAGACAAAAATCCATGATGCATATGCCTGAATGAGTCATCTTTGGCTCTCATCCTGAAGAAGCGTATCTTTAAATCAGAGCACTTTAAGTAGTCCCACTGAGGTCAATGGAAGTACTGATAGTACTTAAAACTACATATATTTATAAGGCACGGCAAAATGGGGGCCCAAGAGGTTGCAAGTTATATGGCTTTACGTTCACAGCTCATACATCATTTCACACCTGAAGAAATGTGAAGCAATAAACCAAGACACACCTGGCAGACCACAGACAGCTCTGACAGACTGCCGCTTCTGGCACTCGATGGAGAAATGCGTTTTGGCACTTACAACAAGCCAACTGGTAATACCGCACACCAACCAGATCTGAACAGATCACACTGGCACAGAGCACGCTGCTGCAGCGCGATGCAGAAATAAAGCTGCTGTGACTTCCTGTGGGGCCTCTCTGACCCTCTTTTAGATATGGCAGCAGCACAGGGCAGCACGCTGAAGTCATGAACTCCTGGAAAACTTGTGGAAGTGGATGACGTGGTCTTGACCTGAGCCGTTACCCATGCCCCAGCACAGGAGGGGCTACAGGGAGGGTTCAAACTTTGCCAGCACCAGCAGAGGCTCGGAGGGGACTCATGCAAGGCGCAGATCTACAGGAAACCACAGGGTGTTTTGGGACACGGTGTCCTGCTGGGTATGCAGTCCCTTGGCTGCCTGACACGTCACAGGGTAACTCACTAAGGACACGGGATCGGCTGCACGCGAGAACACGATATATCCTCCCTGTCAGCGGAAAACGACCGGGCACAGACACCTCAGGGAGAGCCTGG